TAAGAAACATAATCTTTTCTAATTTAATTCCTTTATAAAAATCTCAGCCTCCTGAATCATAAAAACAGAGCTACATTTCATAAAGGTTACATTTCTTTTCACTTCTGGAAAAGAATTAAATCAATACGTTATATTTGGAAGAACAAAACTTGGATCATATATTCCACTGGGTGAAGAAAAAGAAGATACCGCAAGGTAAAACTAGATGTTAACAGACTAATGATCATTTTTTAATAACAGAAGGACCTTTCTGCGGAAAAAAAAATACCAGTATATATTTTTTTCATTGCTGTCTTCTCTTTCAGCTAACCTCTGAATGAGAGAAACTTCTCCCGATGTCAAATGACCACAAGGATATTAACAACTGGACTTGGAGCCTGTCGGCCGCTGTTGGGTATATCTCCTTTGCCAAGCCGGCTTTCTCCGCTACTGCCACTGACCTTGCAAACAGCTCTGACAAAGGTCGGAATGGATTCATTGATCAGCTAGACCAAGCATATGACAGTCTGTGCCTTAATTGAATCCCAAAAGGGGGCAGACTGGGTTTTTATTACAGAGGCCAGCCGATAGCACTCATTAAAAGCTCCACAGACTGTGTGGTTTACTAATTAGTTTATTATACAGACACCTTGACGATGGGCAAAGTTGTCATTTTGCCCTTTATCGCACAGGGGATGTTGTTAAAAGTTTAATCAGCTAACACTGACCAAGTTAGCTTGGCAGGCTGTGGATGGTCATTACTGAGGTCACCCCTGCTGTAGCAATTCTGACAGGGTCACAGCATGAACTTACAATAAAGAGAGTGTTACATAAGGTAAGAGCGCACCTGAAAGGGACCCCAGAAAAGAGATGTGCTCTGCGGGGAGTATGAAACAGATGGGCTGTTAGGACAAGTGAATCCTTTTAAAGTTTATCTTTGCCTGCCCTGTTTAACATATGCTTTCTTAAAAAGACGAGGCATACAATAATCGTTTTGATATGTTCATCAGAAATAATATTGGGAGCAGGTTTTTCATTTTGGCCAAATATAGGATCACCTGATAAAAATTACTCTCCTGTGTTTTATTTAAACTTTACATATTTCCAGAGAAGTAGACGAGATATTCTGACCTGTTTAAACTTGCCCTAGATAGAGCAAAGAAACAATTATAGGGCATTTTTCTTCTTATTATTTCTACTTGGAAAATGATTTTGAGCACTAGCTAATGCAGTAAAAATGTTCTCGTTTACCAACGTTGTCCCATTTATTCCAGGTATTCTTTTTTTCCTAATGGGCTGCTTTTTAGAATGCCTAGTATCTAAGAAAGATGTCTTTTAGGTACCTAAGAGAGATTATGTAGTGAGTGAAGTATAGGTAATTTCACTTCATATATTTGAAAAAGAATCGGTAGATGAATGTAATACTACAGCTAAAATTTTTGAGAAATTCAAAGTAAAGATGATCTATATGTAATTAAATATTCATCTCTTTGTGTCCATGCTTTGACTGCCATAAAGGTTCTATTCTGGGATCTCAGTAGATTTAGTCATGCAGTCAATCAATGTAATTGTTAAGCGAGCACAAATAACATTTTCAATCCATGATTTTGATTTGCTGGACAAAATCTCAGTAGAATTTTACTTTACAACATAGCTATTCATGCATTTTAATATTGAATTTTTACTCTAATGGATGATCTACTAAGGTTAGATAACAAATTTAGAAAGAGACGTCTGCAGTCTCACTCTATGTGGCTCTAGAATATTCAACCCTCTGGAAATCTGCATAAATCTAAAGTTTAGATTCAGGCTATGCAATATAGAAAATTGTGCTAATCCTGACCTGATCATTTGAAATTGATGCTTTTACTAGTGTACATACATATGCACACACATCTACCTGTCTATTATATATCTATCCATCTTTCTCTCTATGTATCTCAGTTATCATATCTGCAATATTGCCTAAAGGCTTTTTGACAGTAAATATATACAGGTTAAATGAAATAAGAAGGTGCTCAAATTATATATTTGTTTTTGAAACAACATTTTATTTTGACTATGTCATGGAAAAGAATATGCACTACTGAACATCATCATTTACCCTGGAGATTAAACTATATTTTAATACATTTGAGATCACATTGAAGGTTTTATGAACAGTAAAGAAATACTCTCTCTTGCATTCAAACTGCAGCATAAATTTTAGCTAGCATTGTATATTTTCCAAAACGGAACTGATCCAGGAGTCTAGGCCCAACATTGAGTCTAACTATAAGGTTTGTACAAAGAAGGCATCTTGAGGGGTTCACATGGGCAGTTCTGAGGAAGCTTCCTGTGGAGACAGATTGTGCCATCAAGCCCACACAGGCAAATGCTTCATCATTAACTCACTTTGGAAGAAAAAGTAAACTATTTTAACAGTGGAATTTAAAAAGTACAGCTATTGTGTATATTTTCTCCCACCGGCCCTCAAGAAAACTGTGAAAAAAAAATTAGCAAGTTACCTGAAATCTCATTTTTTTCCCAAAAGCAATCTGGACAATCTAGGCTACTTCAAATACTTCACTGATTTTATGTAATATAAAGGACCAACAAACTTAACTATTAAACATAAGAGCTTTTGTACATCATCAACCAATTTAAAATAAGTGAATAGTAGAATAATAGACTGTGAAAAGATGTTGGCAATACACAAATCTTACAAAGGCTCAATATTGAGAATGCAAAAGCAATGTCTATAAATTATTAAGATAAGAGAAAAATACTAATACAATCATGCACACAGGACAATTGTAATACATTTGCTAGAAACAAGAATACATGGAACCAAAAAAATATGTATATTAAAAATGTTCAAACTTATTTGTGATCAGGGAAATGCAAACCAAGACCACACATTTTGATTAGCAAAAAATTTAAATTCTGAAAATACCGAAGATAAGAGACAATGTGGATACATACAAGCTTATATTTTAACAATACTTTTGAAAAAGGTTTGGCATTACATGTAATTGAACATTTAAATAGGCTTCAACCCAGAAACCATTCTTTCTACATAACTCATAGAACTTTTTAACATATGTGCATCAGGAGACATGCACAAGGTTGACAGGGTGAATACATGGTTGCTTATCTATTTAGCTGTATTGAAGTAAGCCAACCAACAAATGGATACTCAAATAAAAGTAGGCCATATATAGTCAATTATTTAAATATGAACAGAAATATTTTGTTTCATTTAATTTTTATATGTTTTCAGAAAAGAAGATAGAAAAAAAAACAAAAATAAAACAAAATGCACAAGCTACAATGAAGTCTCCTTCATCTCCTACTAAAAACCAGAGTTCAAACTAATGCTGGAGCTTCCTGGGTGGGGTGAAGAATTTTCATGTTAGTAATCAGGGTACTTGGTCTTAATGTCCTCTCAAAGACAGATGAGCCAAGCAGTTAGAATAGATAATGTCACATAAATCTATTACCTTCAAAGTGTTATGGCTTCAGTTAAAATAATGAACCAATATCTCAGGTAGATGTTAAAGAGAAATGTGAATGTTCTGGAGGAAGAACAGATTTTGCTTCTTCCTCGTGAGGCTTAACCACCAGCCTGATTCTCAAGACAGTTTGAGGACTTCATTGTCTGAATTCGAATTAGGAATTCTGGAAAGTTCTAAGTCAAAAATTAATATCATAAAAGGATTAGGTCAGCAGTAGTTGTATGTGGTTGGTATAAAAGTATTTTCAGGTTTGCCGTTAAAAGTAGTGGTAAAAATTTCAATTTTTTTGCACCAAGACAATGGAAGCAAATTCAATATTTATTTGGAGAATATTCCTCAAAATACCTAACAGTTTTTTTTCTTCCCCAAATAAAACAATCAAGTCTCATGAAAATACATTTATTGTTGTATCATTACAAGCACACATACATAAACACACAGATTTCACTAGGATTTAAAGACTTTTGACATGGAACAAGAAAGAAAAAGATTAACACCACAATTTAATATTGTTATGAAACAAGGATAATTAAAATATACCTTAATCATTTTAACTATGTAAAATGTAGTGATTTTAAGTATAATTAAAATAAATGAAAATATTAAAGAAAAATATAATTTGGGTAAAGTAGTAAAATCAAATTAATATGAAGAGAGAGTAGCAAAAACTATAGAAATAAAGAATATATTTAAGTTTCTGAAGTATCAGTTTAAGTTAAAATGCAATTAAACAGATGAACTTACACAACTAAAGAAGGTTAGTGAACTAGAAGTAAATTAAATAAAATACAGATCAGAAACTACATAAATAAAACGATAGGAAATATATCAAGAAATCTGAGCACCAGAAGAAAGAGGTCCAGCAGATACTTAATTGTAATTCAAATAAAAGAGAAAATAAGATAGTGAGTTATTTGAAGGTAATAATGGATCTCAAAAAATAATTATAAGACTGAATGTAAAAGGAAAAAAGAGACAAAAATTTTGTTTACTCAGATTGCTTTTAAAATTTTTAAATACAACAATGAAACACATTTTTTAGTACAAAGATTTGATACTCCAAATAGAATCAAGCAAACCCATTGTAATAGAGACTATTTCTTTATTTTTTAAATATTTATCTTCCACATAGAATTCAAGCAGTGTAAGAGCAGATTTTTTGTTTCTGTTCACTTCTGTCCATTGTTTACTTAAAAGATTATAAAACAAGACAGATAAATATTTTAATAATGAATTTAAAAATTCATTATTGAAGAAAAATGTTAAAGAAAATAAAATATAATAGCTGAACTATGATTATACATCGATTACATTATCATATTAATGAAATTAATGAAAGCAGAATAAATATATTCTCAGATGAGTAGAGGCTGAATTTTGCTCACATTTTTATTTCTAGATAATTTTTACAGAATTTTTCAGGAAGAAATAAATTATGCAATGAAAAAACATGAACAAGTTAATTTAGAAAATATTTGGGTAAATCTAAATTATAAATTTTATAAACAAATATTAATACTTGGTTTATAAAAGCAAGGTAAACTGAAATAGTAGCACAAATATTATATATCAATATGTAACTAGAGGGAGGTCAAAAAGGTCTAAGTATCTTATCACATTCAGGAAGATTTTGAAGGGATTGTTTCACTTTAGACTAGAATATATCTTCCAATCACTAGAGGAATAAAAGGAGTGTGGTGGTTGTAAGAAAAACTTAATCCTTCCAATAAAACCAAAAGGGAATAAAATTTAAAAAATTCAAAACAGAAAACACACAAAATACTAGAAACAAATTCACATAAACCAGTCACTACTGTAAATAAAAGGGAACTAAATTTATCATTTAAAAATGAAAGACAACATAAGCAAAATGTCAGATTAGGAAAACCAAAGTCTCAGTTTTGTCATGGAAATATCAAACGCTACAAGAAACTAGGAGAAAATAACCTCAGTAATCTGAAAGGCAGTCAGAGGTCTACAGCAACTAGGGGAACGCCCAATTAAGAAAAAGGCATATTCTAAATGGGAGGAAATCTCATGGTGTTTTTACCAGCTCTTGTTTCACTCCCTCTCCAGAGGAGATAAAGCTGTAGAGAAGTAGGTTTGTGTGTGTTTGTGTGTGTGTGTGTGTGTGTGTGTGTGTATTAATTCAGCCCACCTATTTGATAGTAATTGTTAAGAAAAGTTCTAGAGAGATCCAAGATGGCTGATCACTAGTAGCTCAGGCTTGTAGCTCCCAGTGAAAGTGCAGAGGAGAGGATGCCACACTTTCAGATGAATTTTTGTTGCTCACAGACCAGGAGATTCCAGTGGAGGATCCTCACGGGTTGCCAGTGCGACTCTTGTGGCTTGTGGCAGTTTTGCCAGTGCCCTGGCACAGCAGTTCTCGATGCAGAGTAAACGGGACTGGCTCCCCTTTTGGTCAGCATTTGGAGCTCCATGAAGGCAGAGTCACCCATTCAGCTGATTGAAGAAGAGATTCAGGAGGGAAACCAGACTGGAGACTCCCGGGCAGAAAAGCACCAAGAATCTTGATGCCGCTGTTTTAGCCAGCATGGTGGGTTGCTCAGATTTCAGCACTGGGAATTAACAAGTTGGACGTCCACTCAGAGACCTAATTTGAAAGTCAGTAATTACAAAGACGACAGGTGGATAAATTTACAATGACGGGAAGAAAACAGCATTAAAAGGCTGAGAATACTCAAAATCAGAATGCCTCTCCCTCTACAGAGGATCACAGTTCCTCATCAACAGGGGAACAAGGCCTGATGGAGAACGAATGCATTCCAATAACAGAATCAGACTTCAGAAGATGGATAATAAGAAACTTCTATGAGTTAAAAGAACATGTTCTAGCCCAATGTAAAGAAACCAAGAACCTTGAAAAAAGGTTTGACAAAATCCTAATGAGAATAGACAATTAAGAGAGAAATATAGGTGAATTAATGGAACTGAAGAATACGATACGAGAACTCCGAGAAGTATGTACAGGTTTAAACACTCGAATTGATCATGCAGAAGAAAGGATACCAGAGGTTGAAAACCAACTTAATGAAACAAAACGAGAAGACAAGATTAGAGAAGAAAAAGTAAAGAGGAATGAGTAAAGTCTCCAAGAAATAAGGGACTACATGAAAAGACCTAATTTATGATTGATAGGTGTACCTGAATGTCATGAAGAGAATGAATCCAAGCTGGGAAATATTCTTCAGGATATTATTCAGGAAAACTTTCCAAACCTAGCAAGGCAGGATGATACTCAACTCCAGGTAATACAGAGAACACCACAAAGATATTCCTCAAGTAGAGCAACCCCAAGGCACTTAATCATTAGATTCACCAGGGTTGAAATAAAGGAGAAAATTCTAAGGGCAACTAGAGAGAAAGGTCAGGTTACCCATAAAGAGAAGCCTATCAGACTTAACAGCAGATCTCTCAGCAGAAACCCTACAAACTAGAAGAGAGTGGGGGTCAATATTCAATATCCTCAAAGAAAAGAATTTTCAGCCCAGAATCTCATATCCAGCCAAACTAAGCTTTATAAATGAAGGAAATATAAATTTTTTCACAAACAAGCAAGCACTCAGAGATTTCATCACCACCAGGTCTGCTTTACAAGAGCTTCTGAAAGAAGCACTACACACAGATAGGAACAATCTATATCAGTCATCCCAAAAACTTACCAAAAGGTAAAGAGTATCTCCATAATGAAGAATCTATATCAACAAATGAGCAAAATAGCCAGCTAGCATTAAATAACAATATTAAACTCACAAATATCAATATTAATCCTAAATTTAAATGGATTAAACACCCCAATCAAAGACACAGACATGCAAACTGAATAAAAAGTGAAAACACATCGGCACTCTGTATCCAGATCCATCTCATAAGCAAGGACACACAAGACTCAAAACAAAAGGTTGGAGGAAGACTCACTAATCAAATGGAGAGAAAAATAAAAACAAAACAGGAGTTGTAACTTTCGTCTCTGACAAAATAGACTTTAATAGTAACAAAGACTAAAAGAAACAAAGAAGGACATTACATAATGGTAAAAGGATCAATGCAACAACAGGAGTCAATGATCATAAATATATATGCACCCAATATAGGAGCACCCAGATACATAATGACTTATAAAGAGACTTGGACTTTCGCACAATAATAGCGGGAGACTCTGACACCACATTGTTAATATTCTACAGATCAATGAGATAGAAAATTTACAGGGACATTTATGATTTGAACTCAGACCTGGAACAAGTTAACTCAGTGAATATTTATAGAATTTTTCACCCAGGTCCACAGAACATACATTTTTTTAGTATCACATTACACCTATTTTGAAAGTGACCACATAAATGGAAGCAAATCACTCTTCAGCATTTGCATAGCATTTCACAGATTTAAATGAAATATTGTTTGTTTGTTTTTTTGTTATTTTCTTTCTTTATTTCTTCCTGTCTCTGCTGTTAAGCACAATTATTGGCATAAAAGAGGTTTTTAATAGCTATTTTTAGATCGCATTCCAGCCTGGGCAATACAGCAAGACTCCTATTCTCTCTCCCCCTTTTCTCTTTCTCTTTCTTTCTTTCACTAAAAAAAAAAAAAAAAAAAAAAAAAAAAAATCAGCCTTTTGAGATGTCTTTTCAGGTTTTTGCATTCCTAACAACCAGATGGCCCCACCGGGACCTGCAAACCAGTTCGGTGCCCCCCTCCCAGGAACTGACTCAGCAGAAGAGAACAGCTTTGACTCCCTATGATTTCATCCCCGAGCCAACAGATCAGTATTTCCAATTTACTGGCCCCCTAACCACCAAATTATCCTTAGAGACTCTGATCCCTGAGTTTTCAAGGAGACTGATTTGAGTAATAATAAAACTTCAGTCTCCTGCACAACCAGCTCTGCATGAAGTACTCTTTCTCTGTTGCAATTCCCCTGTCTTGATAAATTGGCTTTGTCTAGGCAGCGGGCAATGCAAACCCCTTGGGCAGTTCCATAGTCAATTGGAGGGTTTACAATTTTACCTTTGGTTTACAATATCATTTTGTCTTAAAAAAAAAAAAAAGAAAAGAAAAGTTCTTCAGTTGTAAGACAAATGATACTAGATAAAAATTTGAGCCCTCAAAATGAAATTTTAAAATGCCAAAATATTTAATATTGAGTAAATATAAAATGCAATAAATAATTGCCTCTTAGAATCAGGTAGTGAAGTCTAAAGAAGAGTGATGAAGATGTCTTATTGGAACAAGTAATTATTGGTGTGGTTGTTGCTGCCTGAGTGGGTTTAGAAGGACATTCACACAGGTGGATGAGCTAGCATGAGCTCCAGAACATGAAAAATGTGAGGATGTTGTCACTGGATGTGTGTCAATGCAATTGTGTTGACGAATCTGAGCACAGGATGCTAGAGTTGGAGTCAGGTGAGAATGGCATCCACACTTATGGGAAGTAGCCTGGCATGGGGTTTTGAAATTCTAGCTGAGTGAAGGAGAGAAGGATAATATCTCTGGAAAATCCAAGCCCAGGATGAGGAGCGGCTCTCTTGCATAGGAGTGCTGTTTGTTGTGGGTTGTAAGAGCCTGATTAGGGTGAGAAGAGTGTCCATGGTGGAAGGAGGGTGATATGATCTGGAGTGTCAAGGGAAACGAGGAGAGTGCCACTGTGGAATCCGAGCCTGAAATAGAGTATTGGAACTCAATCAAGGTGATGGCTTGGTGGAGAGCCTCAAAGGGACAGCCCAACCTGATTAAATTGGAGGAAACATACACAAGAGGCAGGAGTCTAGCGCAGGATGTTAGACCACCAGCAGGGTTAGTAGAGCCTCCACATGTGACTATTGCACAGTGGAGGGTGTTGGACTGTCAGGGTCACCACCTGTGGGGATTTGTCCTGCAGACCCTAACTCAGCAATGAATTAATAAAGTACACTGACACACAGATATTATATTTTGCCAGTTCAACTGAGTGTGTCTGGGTGGCCTACAGGCACCCTGGAGAGTGCTATAAACAGTTGTGACCATCAGCTCCCATCCAGCCAGTGAGACTTGCCTTTATTTAGTAAAGTTAAATTGACAAAGGCTTGAGTCAACACCACTAGAGGTTAAAGATTAAAGGACAGGTTCTGATGCCCAAAGCCAACACTGTTAGTGAGTAATATCCCTGGTTGACTTTCCCCAGAGAGGACCATCCAGCTCAAAGATTAGTTTTATAGGACCACATAAGTAAACAATCTATCTGGGTAAACTATTCATATTCCTTTCTATTTGTGCCATAATGTCTCTGGCTCCTGCAGAGAGACTCTGGTTGTGTTCAGTCAAGAACTATGAAAAAAACCCTTAGGTCTTCCAAAAGAGTTTGAGACTATATTCTATAACTTTCTCTAAATATTTTCCCCTTATTTTTTTTGCCACCATCCTGAGTGAATCCCAACATTGGACCAGATTAGGGTGTGGAGAGTACCACATGGCAAACCAGGCAAAGTGTAAGAGTCTGCAGGGGATAGCAGGGTATCCATACTGGGACAGTGATGAGTTCATACAGGTAGTTGACTCACATAAGCAAATATAGCAAATATGATTGAAGTCGGATTTCTCACTGGGAAGAGAGTTACAAATAAGAAAAGGGAGAAAATGAAAATAAACACTATGTAATTGGACTGGAACAGGAATGTAAGTATGAAATGATGGTTTCCAGTGTACATGAATAAATGAAGAAACAATATAGATGTAAAGAAGTGCCTGTATGTGTGTGTGTACAAATATGAATATGTATTTTCTCACTTAGAGAGTGACTAGAGCAGGAATACCTCTATAACAATGAGGGTAGGCAACACCAGATCCTATTTTTCCAGTGTAATTCTTCATTATCTGCTTAAAGGAACCAGACCTCCTTGTAGCAACTGCAAATTGCAGACCTTGGAAGCAGAAAGTTAAAGGTTATCCAGGATCACTGTACTGTGCCTGAAAATAAGGAAGTGGTCAGAAATGATGGGGAAATATTGGAAGGACACAGTGGCTAGCTTGAAGGAGCTCTCCCTGCCAAAACTAGGGCAATTTGAGCATTAATATAAATAGTGACAGGATGGAATTATAACCCATCAAATAGCCATTAGTCTGTGCTGATATAATACATTGATGAAAAAGTGAGACTTTGAGGCATCAGTCTAAGAGTCAAAACAGAAACCAGTCAAATATTAACAGATAATATTAATTTGGCTATGGTAGCTATATTCTAAATAGACAGGGGTAGTTCAAAGTTAAAAATAGATTAATGCCATTCACACATACATAGATCAATATAGAAAACAATATAAATGCTGTGGCTGTTAAAAGCACATTTGGCAAAATGCAAGATTTACTTTTTTAATAAAAAATAACTCTCCATATAAAAGTGTCAATAGTTATCTCACATAAACCAAAGTGAGACCAGCCTCCTAACTGGCCTCTTCCAACTAGCCCTGAATACCCACCCTGCCTCTGGTGGCAATTTCTATTTTTCACATGAGCTAACCTTATTTAACCCAAACTCAAATCAAATCAGTTTTTCATTTTCTTAATTTCATGTAGATGCTCATGGACTAAATGTGAAAACTGGACTATAAAATACAAAATAGTCAAACATTTGGCAGAAAACAGGAGGTTATCTTCAAAAGGAAAGATTTCATGAACATGATCAAAAACTCATTAAAGCTTGACTGATCACAAGGATTCAGCCTCTGAAACCAGGCAGGGAAGCCTCCTGATGGTCCTGGACACTGTACACAGTGGTCTCCACAATCACCAAGTGGAGATCACAGTTTCAAGCCTTACCTCTGAGTTTTCTGAAATGTCCCTGAATTTTTTTCTGGAGAATGAATGTTTTTCACCATCTTGATATTCAGGATTTTCCTTCTCTCTTGTTTCTCAGCAGAATTCAAGCAGCATGGCTGTTAATAACTTTGTCGAAAATGTCTCTTTCTCAATTAAAACAATGATTCTCTTAGATCACCTGCCCTTTGCTTGTGTAAAGCCTTCCAAGGTTTGTATCCCTGGAAAGAAAAGAAAAGGAAAAACATAAAGCTATTCATTCCAGTTGAAGTTTAACATACAGTAATTAAAGCTTAAATTCTTTCAGTTATGTGGATGTCACAGGAGCAAAAATAAAGGTAATGGAAAGGAAGGACATAATATAAGACATATGGACAGAAAAAGAGACATTTACAGAGTAAAATAGCCAGGTGGGTCACTTAAAAGATTATTAGGCTGAAAATAAAATTATGTAGCATTTTTGCAACTTTAAATAGAAATTAATTTGCTTGATAAAGTAGATTAAATTCAATGAATACTTATCTCTGAACTTTTATTTCATATAAAGTTGCAATGTGTCATTATTTTAATTGATATTCAGAATATTATGAACCTAAAGATTTGATTGTTTAAAGTAATAAAACATTATTTTCTGTAGAATTTGCAAAGGGATTTCACTGGCATCTCAGTAAATCCTCCTAACAATCTAAGGTAGGCAGAAATTTTAATCATCATTCTGAGATATAAAAATTTAGTTTTAGCAACTCAACTTGGATTACTATTCTTATAATAATCCTTATGTCTATATTATCATGATTTAACCTGTTGGCAATTGTCGTTCTTTTATACAATTTCATAGTGTTTGTTACATGAAAGGGTCTTAATACAAAAATTGACATGCACCCCGAAGAACCAGATTAATTCAGTCTAATATACCTTGACCATAAAATAAGTCCATCTTGTCATGACATAGTTTTCCTTCCCAGTATTAAGCTTCAAGTCTAATTATATATGTCTTAAAGTACTTGGATCTATTTATTTTAAATGAATCATCTGACAAAAAAGTACTTAGAGAAAGACTAGGGAAATGAAATAATAATTTGGAATTAGAAGAAAATATAAGTGAACGAAGAGGACATTCTAATTTCTTAGAGGAAATCTAAAAGAAATCTTGTAAAAAAAATGAAGAGATTAGAGTATCAAAAAAAGAGAGAGGAAAAAAACACAGAGTAAATAAGCTGGTCCAAAGGGTAGTGAGTTACCTCTACTGATTATTCGCAGACATTAGCAGAATTTCTTGCCTTACTCTTTCCTCCTTTCTCACTACTGCACTTGACTAGTCTTAAGAAGACAAAAAAAGGAATACTCAATAGCATTAAGTGTTGCGAAAAAAATCAGAGGTAGAGAAAGCTGGAGCATGGCAGGTATATGATTTAAGATCGTATGAAGAAGACAGGCAAAGGCCAACCAGCAAATGTTTACATAAGACATGTTAGAGATTTTGATTTGTAGCCACTTTATTGAGGCATACAATATGTTCCATTACCTGCACCCATTTAGGGTATAGATTTCAAGGAATTTTGACAAGTGGATATAAACCTGCACATTAAGGATTTTGAAATTCAATCTAAAGAGTGATGAGAAACTATCAGGTTTAATGACTAAAGGTTAGTGGAGGCCTGTGAGAAACAAGTCAGTGAAGTTTGAGAATAAGGAGGCTATAGTCACCACAAATGTCTTCAAGAAACTTTCTTTAGAGTGCTTAATTATAATGTGTAACCTAATAGAACAAACACTTAAATGATGGCTGGCACATTTCTTCCAAGATTTCTTTCTTTGTTTTTATTAAAAGCTATTTCTTTTCTTTTTGCATTAGGTTTTATTATGATGGGTTTACACATAGTAGTTTTAAAGGTAAATCGAAGGATACTTTTTATTTATTTATTTTTAACATTTGTGGTACATGATAGCTGTACCTTAGTTATGCAGTATGTAAAGTAGTTTGATGCAAGTACATTATGTGTAATAATAAAATCTGAGCAATTCGAATATCCATCACTTCAACATCAACATTAATTGCTGAACATCAATTCAACGTTGAGAATTTATTGTGTTGGGGACACTCCAAATCCACTCTTCCAGAACCTTTAAAATGCACAATCAATCAATCAGTGTTAACTACAGTCACCCCATTGTGCTTCCCCATATCAGATCTTATTTCTACTACTTTGGTACCCATTAGCCAATTTCTATTTATATCCCCCTCTTCACTACCCTTCTGAGTCTTTCTAACCATAATTCTACCATCTACTTCCATGAGATCAATTTTTTTTCAGCTCCCATATATGAGTGAATACATGTAACATTCACCTGGCTTATTTTACTTAACGTAATGTCCTCCTGTTCCATTCACATTGTTGCAAATGACAAGATTTCATTTTTCAGTGTGATTCTGTGTATGTACCACATTTTTTTATCCATTTTCTTCACTCAGAAACACTTCAGTTGATTCATATTTTGGCTATTGTAAATAGCACTGCAATAAACATAGAAGTGCAGCTATCTCATTGATATGCTAATTTCCTTCCTTTTTAATAGATACCCAATGGTGGGATTGCAGGATAACATGGTATTTATATTTTAGCTCTTTGAGGAACCTCCACACTGCATAATATTTACCATAGTATCTGCCCTAATTTACATTCCCACCAACAGTGTATGAGTGTTCATATTTCTCTGCTTCCTCATCACCATCTATATTTTTTTATAAAAGCCATTTTTAACTGTGATGTGACAATATTTCATTATGATTTTGATTTCTATGTCTTTCTTAATTAGTGATGTTGACCACATTTTTATATATTTGTTTCAAATACCTGTTTCATGTACTTTTTCACTCGTGTCTTCTTTTGAAAAATATCTATTCCAATATTTTGGGTAATTTTTAAATTAGGTTATTAGATTTATTTTTTCCTATTCTTTTAGCTCCTTATATTTTCTGGTTATTAAATCCTTGACAAGATGGGTATTTTGCAAGTATTTCCTCCTATTCTATGAGGTCTTTAGTTGTTCATTGTTTCCTTTGCTGTGCAAAACCTTTTTAACTTATAATCTTTGTCTGCTATGCTTTTGTTGCCTGTGCTTTTGGGGTATTACTGATGAAATATTTGCCCAGATCAATTACCTAGAGAGTTTGTCCAATGTTTTCTTTTAGTAGTTTCATAGTTTGAGGTCTTAGATTTAAATCTTTAATCCATTTTGATTATTTTTATATGGCAAGAGTCAGGCATCTAGTTGCACTTCTGCTTACAGACAGTCAATGTTCCAAGCTCATTTGTTAAGGAGACTGTCTTTTCACCAATGTATGTTCTTGGAACCTTATCAAAAATGAGTTCACTATAAAGGCATGGATTTATTTTTGTGTCCTCTATTCTGTTACATTGATTTATGCATTTGTTTCTTTTTTTTTTTTTTTTTTTTTTTTGCCAATCAGTTTGAGCTTATGAGGTTAGCCTTGAACTGATGACCTCGCCTTCGCGAGCGCCATGACCTCCGGCGGGAGCCACTTTGGACCCCGGATTTATGCGTTTGTTTCTATGTCAATACCATGCTGTTTTGGTCACAATAGGTCTATAATATAATTTGAAATCAGAGAATGTAATTTTTTCGTTATTGCTCTTTTTGTTCAAGATGGCTTTGGCTATTTTGGGTGTTCGTTGACTCCATATAAATGTTAGAATTATTTTTTCTATTTTTTTAAAAAGTGTCATTGAGAGTTGGAGAGATTGGATTAAATTATGTGCATTTATTGCACAATATTGATTATTCCAATACATTAACACAGCTTACATTTCTTGTGACCTCTTCAGTTTCTTTCATCAGTGTTTCATGGTTTTCATTGTAGAGATATTTCACTTCTTTGGTTGAATTTATTCCTAGATATTTCATTTCTAGCTATTTTAAATAAAATTACTTTCTTGATTTCTTTTTCAGATTGTTCACTCTTGTCATATAGAAATGCTATTTATTGTTGTAAGTTGATTTTCTATCCTGCAACGTTACTAAATTTGTTTAACAGTTCTAGTCATTTTTCAGTGAAATATTTAGCTGAAATATAAAATCAGATCTTATATTTCAAATATAAGATCTGATCATATAAGATCAGATCAACTACAAATAAGAATAATTTGACTTCTTCATTTCCAATTAGGATGTCCTTTATTTATTTCTCTTGTATAATTGTTCTAGTAAGAACTTTCAGTACAATGTTAAATAACAGGGGTGAAAGTGGAAACTCTTCCCTAGTTCCATATCTTAAAGTAAAGACTTTCAGTTTTTCCTTGTTCAGTATGATACTAACTGTGAGTCTATCATATATAGATTTTACTGTATTGAGGTGTGTTCCCTCCATACTCAGTTTTTGGCAGGTTTTTTTAATTATTAATGGATGCTGAACATTATCAAGCACATTTTTTAGTGTCAATTGAAAGGATCATATGGTCTTGTTCTTCATTCTGATAATATGATGTATGATGCTGATTGATCTGCACATGCTGAACTCTCCTTACATTCCTGGGATAATTCCTACCAGGTCATGATGAGTGATCCTCTTAAGGTGTTGTTGAAATCAGTTTGTTGAGAATTTTTACATCGATTTTTATTGGATGTAAAACTATACTGGCCTGTAGGTTTTTGTTTGTTTTGTTTTGTTTTTTAATGTGTCTTTGTCTGGAACTGGTATCAGGGTAATACTGGCCTCAGAGTGTTCTTGGAAGTATCTCTTTTCTAATATTTTTTTAATAAATTAAGTAGGATTGATGTTAGTTCTTCTTTAAATAATTGGTGAAATTCAGCAGTGAAGCCACTGCGTCCTGGGTTTGTTTTTTTGTTTTTGTTGTTTCCAAGAAACGTTTTTATTACAGAATCTCTCTCTGTACTTATTATTGATATATTCAGGCTTAGGATGTTTTTGGTTCAATTTTGGTAGGTTGAGTGTATCTGGGAATTTATTCATTTCTCCTCAGTATTCCAATTCATTGGCAGATAGTTGCTCATGGTAGTCTCTAATCGTCTTTTAAATTTCTGCTGTACCAGGCGTAATGTCTTCTTTTCCATTTCTGATTTTATTTATCTAGGTCTTCTCTTCTTTTTTCTTAATTAACCTTGCTAAAAGTTTGTTGATTATGTTTATCTTTTTTTTAAAAAAAAAAGACTTGCTTTAAATTGATCTTTTGTATTTTTAAAATTCAAATTCATTTATTTCTACTCTGATTTCTATTATTTCTTCTACTAATTTTAGGTTTGATTCACTTTTGCTTTTCTAGTTTTATAAGACACATCATTAGGTTGTTTAAAGTATTTCTAATTTTTTAATGTAGGTATTTATTGTCATAAACTTCCCTCTTAGTATCACTTTCACCATATCTTATATGTTGTGTTTTTCTGTTAATTTGTTTCAAGAAATTTTTTAATTCTTTCTTAATTTATTCATTGACCTACTGGTCATTCAGAAGCATACTAATTAATTTTCATGTGTTTCTGTAGTTCCCAAAGCTCCTCGTATTATTGATTTCTAGTTTTATTCCATTGTAGTCAAAGAAGATTCTTGATATTATTTCAATTCTTTTGAATTATTTAAGACTTTTTTTGGGACCTATTAGGTCCACTTGGTCTGTAGTGAAAATTAAGTCTGATATTTCTTTGTTGATTTTCTGTGTAGATGATCTGTTCAACGCTGAAGGTGAGGTACTGAAGTCTCCAACTGTTATTGTCTTGGGGTCTAACTCTCTCTTTAGTTTTAATATTTTTTGCTTTATGTATCAGTGTGCTCTAATGTTCCAGGCATATGTTTGTAATCGTTGCATCCTCTTGCTAAGTTGATCCCTTTATCATTTGTCTCTTTTCATAGCTTTTGTTTTTACATTTATTTTATTCAAGTATATCTACTCCTGTTCTGTTTTGGTTTCCATTTGCATGCAATATTCTTTTCTATCCTTTTGTTTCCCATCTATATGTGTCTTTATAGTTGAAGTATGTTTCCTATAGGCACCATATCATTGGGTCATATTTTGATCTATTCAGTCACCCTATGTCTTTTGATTGGAGAGTTTACTTTATTTGCATTACATGTTATCAATAAAAAGTAAAAACTTACTATTTTCATTTTGTTGTTTTCTAGTTTTCCTTCCTTCCTTCCTTCTTTCCTTCCTTCCTTTTTTCCTTCCTTCCTTCTTTCCTTCTTTCTTCCTCCCTTCCTTCTTCCTTCCCTACCTCCCTTCTCCTTCTCTCCCTCTCACCCTCCCTCCCTGCCTTCCTTCCTGTCTTTCTACCTACCTTACTTCCTGTTTTTCTACCTACCTTTCTTCCTTCCTGTCTTTCTACCTACCTATCTACTTTCCTTCTTCCTTTTTGTGAAAGTTGTTTTCTCTGATGGTGCTTTTTTTTTCTTTTTTGAGATGGAGGCTTGCCCTGTCACACAGACTGGAGTGCAGTGGTATGACCTCAGCCCACTGTAACCTCTGCTTCCCAGGTTCAACTGATTCTCCTGCCTCAGCCTCTCAAGTAGCTGGGACAGCAGATGTGTGTCACCACACTTGACTAGTGTTTTTCATTTTTGTAGAGACAGGGTTTCACCATGTTGGCCAGGCTAGTCTCAAACTCCTGATCTCAAATGAACCACTGCCTTGGCCTCCCAAAATGCTGGGATTACAGGAATGAGCTACTAGGGTTGGCCTGGTGGTGTGTTTTAATTCTTGCTTTATATTTTTTGTGTGTTTGTTGTAGCTTTCTTGATTTGAAGTTACCATTAAGCTTGAAAATAACAACTTTTACCACATTATTTTTAAATAATAAAACATAACTCTGATTGCAAAGGCAAGCACAGAGAAAACCAATAAAAACTCTATACTTTAACATTACCCCCATTTTTAAACATTTTGTTGTTTCTGTTTATATCTTATTTTACTATCCATGTTACAAAACATTGTTGTAGTTATTATTTTTGATGAGTTTAATTTTTTAATCTTCCTACTCAAGATATGAATAATTTACACACCCCATTACAGTGTTATGATATTCTGTATTTTTCTGTGCACCCACTGTTACCAGTGAGATTTGTACCTTTGAATTATTTCTTATGGCTTGTTAATTTCATTTTATTTCAAATTGAAGTACTCTCTTCAGCATTTCTTATAAAACAGGTCTGGTGTTTGGAAAATCCCTCAGCTTTTTTTTTTTTTTGGTCTAGAAAGTCTTCATTTCTCCTTCATGTTTTAAGAATATTTTTGTTGGATATAATATTCTAGCATAAAAGAGATTTGTTTTTCCTTTATTGCTTGCAAGATAGCAAGCAATGCAAGCAATAAACTCTCCTGGCACAGAAGGTTTCCACTGAGAAATCTATTGCCAGATGTATTGGAGCTTCTTTATGTGTTATTTTTTCCTTTTCCCTTTTTACTTTGTAGGTCCTTTCTTTATACTTAAGCTGTGCGCATTTAATTATTAAACATCTTGAGGTATTATTTGAGTTAAATCTGCTTGATGTTTTATAATCTTGTACTTGAATATTGATAGCTTTGTCTGGGCTTAGATAGTATTTATTATCTGTTGGAATAAACTTTCTAAGCCAATCTCTCTGTCTGCCTCCTCCTTAAGGCCAGTGACTTTTAAATTTGCTTTTCTAAGGTCATTTTCTATATCCTATATATATATTTCATTATGTTTTATTTTTTTGTCTTTTAACTCCTCCTGCTGTGTATTTTCAAATAATCTTTCTTCAAGCTCACTAATTCTTTCTTCTGCTTGATCAATTGTGCTTATAAGAGACTTTGATGCATTCTTCATTATGTCCTTGCATTTTTCAGCTCTAGTATCTCTACTTTATTCTTTTTAATTATTCCAATCTCTTCCTTAAATTTCTCTTATACGATTCTGAATTCCTTCCCTGTTTTATCTATAATTTGACTGATCTTCCTCAAAACAGCTATTGTAATTCTCTATCCAGAAGGTCAAGTATCTCTGCAACTCTGGAATTAGTCATTGGTGGTTTCATTAGTTCACTTAGTGAGGTTGTTTTTTCCTGGGTGGTACTGATGCTTATGAATGTTCCTCAATGTCTGATCATTGAAGAATTAGATACGTATTGCAGCCTTCTCCGTCTGGGCCTGTTTGCACCTGTCCTTCTTGGGAAGACTTTATAAGTAGTCAGAGGGAATTAAGTGCCGTGATCTAAGTATTTGGTCACTACAGCTGTATCTGCGTTAGGAGGCACCCATAGCCCAGTAACGCTGTGACTCTTGCAGACTTGTAGCACTATGACTTTGGTGGTCTTGCCTAGGAGCTGGGAAAATTCCCTGGCTTACAAGGAAGAGTCTCTTGATCTCTTCCCTTACATTTCCAAAACAAAGTTTCTCTTTCCATGCTGAGCTGCCAGGAGTTGGAGGAAGACTGACATGAACACTCCCATGGCCACCACTGCTGGGACTATGCTGTGTCACCTGAAGCCGGCACAATACTACATCTCACACAGGCATGTGGTGACTATTTCCTAGCTACTCCTGGTGTTTATTCAAGGCCCAAGGGCACTTTAGTCAGCAAGTTGTGAATCCTGCCAGGCCTGAGTCTGTTCAGGGAAGGAAGTCCTTCTGGACCAGGAACGTTCTAGAAATTCCCCACAGAAACCTAGAACTGGAAACCTTGCGAATCTCTTTGATGCTATATTTCATTATAACTGAGCTGGTACCTAAGTTGCCAGAAAAAATCAGTTTTACTTTTCCGTCTCCTTTCCTCAAGGAGAGGGAATTTTTCCCTGTGAACATCACAGCTGGGAATGTGCTGAATCTTACCTGAAGCCAGCATGGTACTGGGTCTTGCCCAAGGCCCGTGGTCACTACTGCTTGGCTACCACAGGTGTATTCAAGGCCCAAGAAATTTTTCGTCAGCATGTGGTGAATTCTGATTAAAATGGGTCCTTCTCTTCAGGGTAGTAGGTTTTCTCTGGCCCAGGGTGGGTCTAGAAATGTCTCATAGGAACTGTGGCCCAAAATAGAAGCTTCAGACCTCTGTTGGTGCTTTACCTTACTGTGGCTGAGCTGGTATCCAAGCTGCAACACCAAGTCTTCTTCACTCTACCTTCTTTCCCCAGAGCTGCCAGATGTACTGCCTGGAGTTGGACGCAAGCACTCCCTTGGCCGCTCCAGCTAGTATTTCACTGGGTTGTGTCCACCACAAGACCACCAGCTTGGAGCCCAGCACAGCAGCAGGACTTGTCCAGTAATTGCAGCCCTCTGGCTTAAAGTGCTCTGGGGTCCTATTTTGAGGTTTAAATAAACTAAATTGGACCCCAGGGCACTTTAAGTGATGGTGGTGAGGCTAGCTGGAACTTAGTTTCTGACTGCTGAGATGGATGATTCCCCTCTGACTAAGACCAGTTTAAATGTTCCTTCAACGGACACTAGCGGAATCTTCCCTGTCTTGCTTTCCACTGTGACACTGAGTTCCAATGCAAAGTTCCACGGTCACTGGGCTTTCTCTCCCCCAAGCATTGGGATACATTCCCTGCACCACACTGTCCTGTCAGAGGTTAGGGGAGGAATCTTTTACATAATTTACAATTAGCTTTCCTACATTATTCAGTGTCTTTTTCTTTCATGTAATGTTAGAACCATATACCATGATTATTCATCTGACTTTCGGTTATTAGGTGCTTGTTTGTGTGGATAGTTGTTTAGTTTGGTGTTCCTGTGGAGGGGATGTTCTCTGGAGGGCTCTAATTAGCCATCTTGCTCCACCTACTCTTTGCCAATATTTTTTAAAATCTTTACAAGTGAGTGGAATGTTTGACTTACAAATTCTTCATTATCTTAAAAAATCAGACAAATGCACAAATATTTACGTAAAATACATTCACACTGTACACATAAAATGAGGAACTAGCTTAATATTTAGGTAGAAGTAACTTAAGTGTCCAAAGATAACTATTATTTAAACACCCTTCGGTGCATCTGTAATGTGGAGTACTATGCAGTCACTAAAAGAACAAAAAGAGAGAAATATAATAACATAAATGTTTCTGTGTAATATTAAGGTTAAAAGGTGTAATCAAATAGTATGAATTGTATAATTTTCTAAAAGCTATGGATTTTATTTTAAATTTTTCTCAGAAGTATTTTGTTTTACATATAAATAAAAAAACATTAAACTGCAAATGTGTGTGGAGGTGAGAAAATGATACTACCACTGAGTGATTTCAGACCACATTTTGATACCTAATTAATTACTTTGCAGTTGCAACAAATTTTTATTTGGGGAGTATATTCCATTAAAGCTAAAGATCAGTGAACATGTCGAAAGCCTCCTTTATGAATAGTTAATGAATGCGATTATGGATCACAATGGGTTAATGTTAAAATGTGCTCTAAAAAAAAAAGTAGAAAATCCTGTATTCAGCATGCAGGAAAATCTCTGCTGAATGACGAGAGGTATTCTGCAAACATCTTATCGCACTGTGATGTTTTAACATGTAACAATCAAATTTGAGCTGACCCTGAATATATCTACATGAGAATATTTACAGGCAAAATTAAATACTGCAGGAAATGGTCTGGGTGACTCAGCAGGTGGACATTCTTCTATCTGGCTTAGAAAGAAATCCAGGCTCTGAACTGGCCTTTGGAAACATAAAGTCTAGCTAACTATAGTTCTATAGTTATAGAAGAAATGTTAATGATACATCTTTTTCTATTGTGCATGTTTACAAAGAATTCAAAACTTCAGGAATCATACGAAGCTGAAATATAGTAGTCTAGGAAAAAACAAACCAGCATATTTCCTTTTAAAATATTTAATATATGTTTAATGATTACAGTAGCACATCTCTAAATCCAAGCATTCATTATTTCAGGATCAGCGAAGGGTCCTACTTAAATCTGATATTAATAATTTATTTCTTCTATAAAAATAATTTGTTCCATGCTTTCACTGTGCCTTTCATGATGCTATTTGTCACATTGGCATACAGTGCACTCCCCATGTCCTGGACTACACAGTTGTTTACATATTTTTGTTCTATGATAGAGACAAAGCTCTTTGAGCTTACCTATTGCCCTCACAGGTCTGACGCTTAGTACCAGTCAGTAGATATTTCCCAACTGATGATTTTCATTGTATATATGTGAAGTGAAAATCACTTAGTCACAGATACACAAACTAATACTTACACAAAGCAACTAATAAATGAATATAAAAACCAGAGACTTAATCAAAATTAAATTCTTGCTCTTTCAAGGATAGCATACTTCAGTGGCATTGAACATATTACCATTTGGAAGAAAAGAGCAATTATTTGGGAATTATACTCAATCTAAAACCAAAGAGGTTAAAGTTCTTTATTCATGAACTCATTTTTAGTGATCATTGAAAATGGCAGAAAAATGTAGTTCTTCCTCTTCAGAATAAAACTATTAAATTGAAATAAATCAAAGAATGAACAAATTTTATATAAGATTGTTGATTTTTATGATTTAGTTAATTTAAAAATAAAGAATAATCGAATCTCCATAGAAATTATAAAGAAACACTCTTACATATCTAATTCTATCACTAAATTTTTGAAATTACTGGAACATAATATTTGTACTTCTGAAGTTACAACCTGTGTGGTAAAAGTTGTTAAAAGTCAGATATTTTAGTTCACACTTTAACCATGATATGAAGAAATTTGGTAGAAAACATAACTCTAAGATTTTACTTTATGATATTTATAAGATCATTCTGATTTTACAAAAAAAAAGAAAAGAAAGATAATCTTATGCTAAAATTCCAGTTAAGGTTTTTCCTCAACTGTTTTGCCTTATTTACCTATTTTTGTATGAGTTTTACCATCTGCCGAATGGTAGCGAAAGTCATAGGATTATTTTGATAATTAAGCAAACGGTATTTGAAATATGCCTACCAAAATGCTTAGGAAAAGCCCAGCATTTTATCTCTCTTTGAAACATCATTCTTATAAGAAAAATAACACGTAATAGTAAAAATAGGAATATTGCAAGAGCTGACCACTTCAGTTCTTATATATCTATATAACATGTATAAATATTCTGAGTGTTTACATTTTTTAAAGATTGTAGTTGCTCAAATATAACAATTTAATCATGTTTTTATATTGCATATTAGTATGTATCTCTGTAACATAAATGTAAAGATTTGAAAATAAGTTTTGTTTGAAAAAAATGTAAATATTACCAGAGAGGTCAGAGTGTTTAGTTACAATAGAATTTTCATGAACTGATGGGAATGAGCCAAAAATAAATGGATAGAGACCACATAGTAAAATATTTGCTAAATCCTTACTTATGACTAAGGCTGGCTCTGAAATAATTCTTAACTCTTCTGTTTTGTTGTTGTTGTTCTAAAGTGCTTTCAGAGAAACTATGGCAATTTAACAGAGGTATTTAAAGTAGAATAAAGCCTATTGGTTGTAAAACAAAATGTAAAATCAACAAAGAATTTTACACACATAAAGGAAAAAATATATGTGGATACAGTCACATGTACATACTGCTGGGAAGATCACTGTGCAATGATTAGATTGTAAATGAATATACCAAACAATCACTTCTTAATTTCTGAAACATAGAGAACATAAAATTATAGAGAAAACAGGTTAATAATTTCAAATATACCCTTTGATTAATTTTGACATTTATCAACTTTTGGCTAAATCCTTCCCAACAGATTTCCTTTTGTTTAATTATTTCAAAGAAAAACTTTTAAAGAAGTTATCTCACTCATAAATAATTCTGTATGTATCAAAAAAATATGAAGGTGTGTTGTAGATTTAGATTAATTAGAGATTATAGATTAATTAAATGAGACACCAAAAGAAAAAAAAACTGCAATTTGTGCCTTACCAGATTTCAAAAATGAAAATAAAGTATTCTAAAAATTAAAAATTTTTAAAATAAATTTTAAAAAGCAAAAAAAAAAACCTTTAAAATATCTGTAAAGAAAATGCTAACACAACCCACAGACTGGGAGAGAAAATATTTTCAAATCATGTAGCTTACAAAAATCTTTTATCAAATATTTATAACTTTCCCAGTACCATTTATTAAAGAGACAGTTTCTTCCTAATCGTATGTACTTGGAACCATTACTGAAAATTAATTGGCTGTAGATGTGTAGGTTTGTTTCTGGGGTGTCTATTCTGTTCCATTGCTCCTTTCATCTTTTTTTTTAAATTTATTATCAAAATTTTTTTAGTACCATGCAGTTTGGCATCTATAGATTTATTCTACATTTTGAAGTAAGGCAGTCTGATGCCTCAGGCTTTCTTATTTTTGTTCAAGATTGCTTTGGTTATTCAGAGATTTTTGTGGATCCATTCAAATTTTAGAATTTTTTAAATGTATTTCCATGAAGAATTTCACGAGCATTGTGATAGGCCTTGGATAGGACAGAAATTTTAACAATATTCTTCCAAACTATGAAGACAAGACATCTTTCTTCATGTTTGTGTCTTCAATTTCTTACATAAATGGCTTATAGTTCTTATTGTAGAGATATTTTAACTCCTCGGTTGAATTTTTTCCTAGACATTTCATTTGATGTCTTTTAATTTGTTAATGTGTTGATTTCCCAATCCATAAGCATAGAATCTTTCTTTTGTAAAATTTGCTCATGTCTTTTATGATATTTTTACAGCACGTGTTGTTGTTGTTGTTGTTGTTCTCCTTGTAGAGATATTTGACCTCCTTGGTTAGATGCAGTCCTCGGTATTTTATCCTTTTTGTGGCTACTGTGAATGGAATTGCATTCTTGATTTGGCACTCAGCATAATCATTGTTGGTGCATAGAAATGCTACTAATTTTTGTACACTGATTTTTTATCATGAAACTTTACTAAAGGTGTCTATCGGTCTCCAGGAGCCTACTGGCAAATTTTTTAAGTAGATGGAGTCTAGCTCTGTTGCCACACTGCACTGCAGTGATGCCATCTCAGCTCGCTGCAACCTCTGCCTCACGGGTTCAAGCGATTCTCCTGCCTCAGCCTCCTTAGTAAGTGGTACCACAGGCGTGCGCCACCAAGCCCAGCTAATTTCTTTTTGTACTTTTTAATAGAGATGGGGTTTCACTATGTTGGCTAACATGGTCTCGATCTCCTGACCTTGTAATCCACCTGTCTCTGCCTCCCAAAGTACTGGGATTACAGACGTGAGCTCCACTCCTGGCCTGGCAGTTTTTAGTGTTTTCTAGATATAGAATCATATTGTAGGCAAAGAGAGATAGTTTGACTTCTTCTTTTCCTACTTGGATGCCTCTTGTTTCTTTCTCTTGCCTGATTATTTTGCTAGAACTTCCTACTCACTCTTAAATAATTGTTATTAGTCTGTTTTAGCCCTTCTAGACAGACCTGAATAACCAACACCAG